GGCTTGGGAAATGATCATTCATGGAAGGAGATAACATTTATGAAGGCATTGCTTCATTAATGGATTTAATTTTGACTTATTTACTTAAGAACTTGAACTGTGCATAATTTATTCTCCTTTGCATGACCATATTAACCCTGTCCCCCCAAAAATGAAATAATTCCACCTCTGTTCAAAGTGCCCATTGATGAACTGTTGAAATTAACTTGGTTTTTCAGTTGAGGAGAAGAGAAAAAAAAAAACAACACTGGATTCATGGGTATGCATCAAGCTTGTAATCAACAGCTTGGTCTGAAAATTATTCTAAAATAAGGGTCTTACAATTTAACTTAAATATATTAAAGGCAGTTAATTTGATGATTTATGCAAAAATGAAATAGCACTGGAAAACATCTTACAACTCACCAAGGAAATAAAAGTTCTTTTTAAATAAAATAAATAAAAGTGTAAAATTTAGTAGTATGAGGATAATACAACAACAAACATTTTAAAAATTTACATTAATCAATGCTGTTGCACCTAACTGTGCAGTGTGATCATTAGCTGCTCTAATTTTTTGGATCAATCACCAAACTTTCAACAGTGTTAGCAAAGCATAAATCTGACTCTGTCAATAATAGAATTTCATTGAATAATGACTCATTTTGGGGCCACCACATTCAGCTCCATCATTTTAAATCCTGAAGCAGGAACAGAAAGAAGATGTGTAGAGAATATGCAGAGATATAAGCAATTCTGATAATTTTCATAGAAAAATGACCAAGTAATGTGTTGTGAATTCCTCTGAGTGCAACACTCACAACAGGATTTTTAAAGGGGCACGGAGCATCTTGATACTTGTACTGTAAATGTATTTTGACCATGACACCTGGTGTAACAAAGAGGGAAACTAGTTTGGCAGCCACAAGTATTTCAGAGGCATAAGCCCATCAGGTTGTGGGGGATAAAATGAGAATCAAATTTCAGGGAGAAGAAAAGATAAAGTATCTACAGCTTCAAGGGAAAGGGAAACGAGGTTATTCCTTAGGATGAACCATTTTCAATTACAGCCTGACAAAAAGAGAAATAATTAAACCCGAGGTAAATTGAAATGGCTAAAACTCCTTAAAAACAGACTTTTAAAGAGAAGCCTTCACAAATGGGACTTTAACTGCACAGCAAAGCCGAGTGCTGTTACAACAGGCTTTTTTTATTATTATTAACTTTGATCAAAGCTTATTAACCAGCAGCACCAAGCCATTAGTGGATTGGGCTACACAGGAGAGCTAATTAAATTTAAAGTGCCACAAAGTCCAGAGGGCATAACACACAATCCCCAAGGCAGAAGCTGGAATGGGTGAGAACATTTGCATGGTGAGGCAGGGAGATGGCAAGGTGCTTGCTCTTATTTACTGTGGGCTCTGCAGAGATTTTAATACAACCAATTCTGAACCTGTCTTCATCATCAAACATGCAGAAAAGTGTGGGCACTGAATGTCTGGGGAAATGTGGAATATTTCCACACACCTCGGCAAGAAACACAGACCATAAAATGTTATTTGATCATGACATCCCTCCTTACCCTAAGGAGAGGTAACTTCTACCAATTATAATGTGAAATATAACTAAAGAATTCAGGGACAAGAGAAAATAAAACAGGATGAAATCTAACTGTAAATTGGTGCACAGCAGCCTTGTTTTGTCCAGAGGCAGACACATACAATAGCATTTATAACTGAAAATAACAACAATAAATCATAAAACAATTTCTTCCACTGCCTATGTCCCACCTGCTATGTTATCCTTTGTATCTACAATAGATTGCAATAATTAAATATTTCCCTGCAGTTTTGTAATATACCTGGGAGGAGGAATAATATTCTATTTTCTGGTCACTTTCCAGGCACTGTGAATAGTAAACTGTTACCTTTCATCCGCCTTTCAAGCTCCTGGGAAGGCAGCAGAGAGGGGGAACATTTGTCCCATCCTTGCTCCTGTTTTAAAAGCCTCCTGATAATGTGGGCCACTAGAAAATTTTTCAGTAATAAAAGGAGTTGATTTGCAGAGCAAAGCCATTATTGCTGACCATGACATCAAATTATGATTTATCAGCCTGATATAGTAATTTCAGGATCCTAGGAGGAAGGGCTCAGTAAACAAAACCAGTAAAATTCAGTGCAGAGGGGAAGAGAGAGGAGTCTGTAACAGTGGGTTGTCTTAACCAGAATTAGTATTTCTGTATCCTAAAATGACAGAAATATTTTGCATCAGTGTGGTGGCACCACGCTGAGTCACCCACTCACTCCTGTGGGCACAGTATTATTTTTAAATATATTATTATTTATAAACATTGTGTTATTTCTAAGGGGTGTTACTCTCATCAGCTGTTTTTCTGAGTGATTTGAAATATGTACTAATTCAATTTTAATTTCTCTCTTTACAATATAAAGCATTAACTACATCAGTGTGTAGGCAAGAAAAACACTACCATGTTTCAGTTGATCTTTGCTTTAAGCTATGAAACAGAAAATGTTGTGAGAAAGCAAATCATAAATCAAACCTACAAATAGCACTGGAAATGCCAAAAAAATAAGAAATTTTGGGTAAACTTCTAGGCTTCAGATTCTGCCCCTTAACAAAGATTGCAATTATGCATTCTTACTCATTTTCTTAATATTTTTCTTCATTGGGGGTTGTTATAATATTTGCATCAGATCAACACCTGGCTGATAACTAAATAAGTAAATTTTCTTTTAATAAACATCAGCAGGTTTTTCTTCCATATCCACTGAAATACCGTGGGATTTGAGTGCCACAAAAATTAAGGGAAAAGAACAATTACTGGTGATTAAGGAAAACCTTCAGACAGAGTTTTAAACTCTGAAGTTCAACAAATCCTAATTTTTTTTTCTGCTTTTGCTAAAGATGATGATTTTGAAAATTATTTTGTCTGGATCCCATAGCTTCTGTGTAACATCCCCATGAGCTGCCAGAGCAGAATTATCTTGTGATGGAACTACCACAAGTTTTCCCCTCCCAACACAAACCCAATCACCTGCTGAGCACTGCTACCTTTTTAATTAATAGTGAATTATTTGGACAGGCACATATACAAATGCACTTTTGCTGTGCATCTGTGTATGCCTTCACGTTTTTCAAAGAAATTTTTAAATTATGATCTTCTCTCTTGATTGTGGGTTTCACCAATATCTACTAAAAGTACCTCGGTGATCTTCTAATTCTCATTGACTCCTGCAATGACATTTCAAGTCCAAAAGGGAAAGAAATAAAATTATGGTCTAGGAAATAGAAGACCTAAGATAAACATAAAAACATCACCCAATATTATCTTATCTTTTAAGTCTTACATTCTTGATGCTTTGTGTAGCATTATCCACTCATTCCACTCATCCCCAAATCACTATTTTCCCCAGAAAGACACGGTCTGCCTCTTTTTGAGTGTTAAAATTCTAGGAAAGACTTCAGATATTCAGCACCCAGCTGTGCTTTCCCATTGTTCACTGGAAGAGAGAGTTCTGCACACAGGAAGAGCACCAAGTGACCTCAGGAATATTCACTGTGAGGGCTCAGCAGTGCCACTGCCTTGAAAAACTCGAGTGTTACCCAGAGCATTAACTTTATGGTTTTCATGTTATCTGCAAATTTTGCATCTGAACTCTTCCAGTCAGGACCAAAACCCTGAGGACTGCATGCCTCAAAGACAAAAGAAAGTGCATTTTTTTGTTTGCACCTACAATAAAACCACAGCTGGTTTATTTTCCAGTCCCCCATAAATGCATGGACAGTGGGTATTTTTTTCAATATTAAATACATATCTCTGTCTCAAAACTCTCACTGAGCTACTTAGGCCCCACTGAATTTAGAAGAAGAGTCCACACCTTCCACTTTTCCTTGCCTTTCCACAAAACAAAATTCTCATCATGTTACCTGAACTGACCAATCACCACCTGACAGCAAAGACTTCTGGAGAGCACAGTGCAACATTAAGTTATTTATTTCTGTGATCACAATTTCCTCCACTTGTCTGAACTCTGCCTACTTTCTATAAAGCCAGAAATTCCCCAGCAAACAGGCCCACACGAGTGACAAAGCTGTTTGCCACTGGCAACAGGGTCCTGAACACTTCCAGTTCCCCATGTGCACAGAAAATTGCTGTTTTACAGGAACACATTGTTGTCTGGATTACCTTTACCTGTGGTGGAAGTAAAAAGCTCTAGTGAGAGAACTCACAGCAATCTTTGCAGACCTGAAGGGAAGTTTATATATCTATTTTTATACACATACGTGTACATATCTACGCACATATATAAACCATATTACAACTATCAATGCAGTTTTGAAACTTTGATAGCATTTACCCCGGGTATTCCCACTAGTTTATCACAAACATGCCAAAATTCTGATTCACAGTTAAATATTTTGTACTGTATAATGGGCCATCACTGCATCCCACACGCTTTACAAGGCTCTAGTCCTGGAAAAATTCATCAGATTAAGTTTCATGAGCATCTTCACAAGGCCAAAAATTCTTTGACAAATTAAAGTGGATTCTGCTATAAATACACTTTCATTCCATTTATGCACACAGCTCTTTTTATAGCTGTTAAACCTCCTCTCCTTCCCCTTTTTAAACACTATTGAAACTGTCAGGAGCTACCTTTTACACTTTATCAATCATGGCACGCACATCATGATTCCTAGAATTTAAAATGGAATTGTTGATGGTTCAGATACTGTTAGACTGTCATTAGTTCTGCAAAGTGTGTAATTTGTCACTTTGCCAGAAATGACAGTGCCTTCACTCGTGCAACATGCTTTTAAACCTCCCCTCTCTAATTTGAAAATGCCAGTATTGTACTCTGATCCAGGAGAGGTATTTTTAAGGCCTGCTGGCTGGCTTGTCACTGAGCAATCTGTCAGGTAGTATTCTGACTTCCTTAAGGTTTTTTCACACAAAGCCTGTCTGTGATATAACACAAAGATAATGCTTTCTGTCTTACCTGATGGCAACGAGGCCCGTGCTTGATTTTCACTTTCCTCATCAGTGCTGGCATCATAGTTGTTTTCTTTCTTTACAACCATCTGAGTAGTAGCTATACTATCCCTAAAAACATCAAAAGAAAAGGAAAGGAATTAAGGTATTTTTGTCTCTCAAAGGAATTAAATAATTCAGGGAGAATATGTATGGAATCACCACCTATGGAAAGGGCAGGGACATGATCTTATGGGAAAATCAATTGCAGCCCAAAGCCAAAAGCAGGACAGATCCATCTTCTTGGCAACAGCACCCGCAGCAATATGCTGCTGCTTGCAAGGATGCCAGAAAGAATCCTCCTCTTCCATGACTTCCAGGATTGGTTTGGATAACCCAGCACTCAGCCAGGAAGAACTGTCACTCACTGTCAGGGCCAAGGAAATGGGAACTGAACTAAGCTAAACTCAAATATGCACCACAGCAAGAAGTCCAGGGAAATTAAATACCTTGCACATTTGGCATCCACTGCAGATTCTTTAGCTTCACTCAACAACTTCTGCAAGTTTCTTATCTTTGCCTTCTTTTCATTCAGCACCAAAACAAACCTGCTGTAAAGGTCTGCCTCCAGATCCTCTTTAGCTTCCACACATTTTTCCAGCCTGCAGCACAAAATTATCTGTTACATCAATTCTTCTGTTTCCTAGAAGACAATTCTGCCAGAAATCCCCACTCCAAACCACACATGACTGGTCCAGCACTTTGTGTCTGAAACAGGCCAGAAGAAGCTTTTTTTGTTGTTGCTTTTCCACAGAGAAGTGCAATGAACTCTGCTTCCAAAAGGGAAAAGTTTGCAGATGTGAACCTTTCTCTTAATGATTTTTTCTCAGAAGGTTCTTGCACAGCTCTACTCGAGACAACTAAAATTTAAACAGTCAAATGTTCTTTATTTTCAATGGTGGATCACAACAGTGGGCATACCTTAGGAGGATACACATAATGAGATTATAAACAGATATGATTCACCTTGACAGGTTTCAAATCTGGACCACACATTGGTGTGAAATATATTTGAAGAGGAAAAGAAAATTCCAAAATATAAAAATGCTTAGAAGCTCTTAAAATCTTCAGAGGAAAATATACTTCAGGTTTTAAAAAAAATTTTAGTATTCATCTATGTGGGTAGATGAATGTCAATAAAAGGAAGCACAATGGGAGCATTAAATGAAGAATATGGGTGTATAAAGTTTCATAAGGAAAACTGGAATACAACCAAATCTGAGCACAACAAATCAAGTGATTTTTGGAAGACGTAATTCTATATATTCTAATATTTAATTTTGAATTTCATAACCTTTCAGTCCATGGGTTGAGCCACAAACATTTTATTAGCTGTTTACACAAGAAGCAAATAAACATCTTGGTAAACTTACTGATCATAGTAAATATAATAAATCGACAAAAGTTAAAAACATTTTTTTCACTAGCCTATGCAAAGCTGTAAAAAAGTTTAGAAGGCTTATTATGCTAATAAACCCAGATATGAAACAGACTTAAAAATATTAATTTATAAGGCAAGATATTTCAACAGACTTCCTACATAAATACTAATTATTTCGTTCACAGATCAAAACCATATATGATGTAGGAAGCAACACAATAGCAAAAAAAAAAATCTCACGATTTTTATGTTGTAGTGAAATGTGTGAAATCTCATGAAGTATTAAGCTTACTGTTCAATGCTTTAGGGATATGCTTGATAGTTGATAAATAATTCATCTAATTTAAATGCAAATAGCAGAACATCATTACCATACAGATCAGTTCAATAATTCTTAAATGAAAGATCATAGGCACTAATCAACTATCAGGAGACTTTCCACCTACAAAAGGGAAGTTAACTGTTTAGTTGGGAATAAATAGACAATTCAGAAAGAACCATAAACCCTAATGCAGGACCCAGAAGAGCGTGGACATGCTTGATGCTAATTATTTCTGTATATGTAAAAATGAGGGAGAAAAAGGATTTTGTCTAAAATACGTTAATCTTGTCTGTATCAAATCCTGTAGAATAATCCCCTCTCCCACACACAAACCAGGGAAAGTGGTTGCTCTCTGCCTTTACTTTGACAAGGCACTGTTTTGTGTTGGAGCAGTTGAGACTGGTTCAAATATTGAGAAATGTGGCTAAATTGGCCAAAAAAGTGCCACTTAAGATTACTTCAAGTGAGGCCCTTGAGTGCTGCAAAGACACCCCCTGATGAAAATCCATGTAAATGGAAACTTCCAGTGAAGTGAAGCTGATGCTGCCTCGACTGTGAGTAGTACAGTGGAGAAACCAACTGCAAGACTAGCCAATTTCTTTAGTCTCTGGAGAAAAAAAAAACAATTAGCATCTTGAATATAAGAACTAGAATATTAACTTTTCCCTCTGGGCAGAACCAATTAGTACTATGCCATCAGTTAATCTTATATGATTGTTTTCATTTATATTAACACCTTTTTTTTATTATTTTTCCCCCATTATTCAAAGCTATCCACATCTAAATACATTCTCCAGACACAGAATGGCATTAATTTGGCAAAACACTGAATATCACAAAAGCAATCACATTAATGCTACACTTGCAACTTACGAGCCTTTAAAATACCAGTATTTTGTGGCATATCTGATACTTTAGAGGAGACTGGTAAAAGGCAATGGTCTTGGGGACAGAGATGCATTAATTGGGCAGGTGGGGTGGCTCTGTGGAACTTCTGGATCCACTGAGGCATTCACCACCTGAGCACAGAGCAGAGCTGGCTGGGTTTCATTCCAATACCTCAAACACAAACTTTAATTGCCATTCCTCACGTGGTGCTGCCTGCATGTGCCCTGTGACCCTCAGACACCATCTCTCCAGGCCAAATGGAGGTGCTGCTCATCTCACAGTCAAGCTCCCAGCACGATGAACCCAAGTGGGGGTTAATTGCTGGAGTGGTGCTTCCCAATTTGTGCCTCCTCACGTCTCTCTCTGCAACGCTTTTCACGTGCCAAAATGCACCCAAGGTCACAGACATCAAAAATCCTGCACAGCCCACTGAAACCAGACACTGTTGGGGATTATTACAAACAATAAACTGAAAAATTAACTATAAAATCCAAGATTTCAAGTGCTGACCCAGCACAGAGCAATCACACATGCTCTACAGAGGTGAACGTGAGATATGAAATTTAATGGCATTTCTTTAATTATTAGTGGCAACCTTCACAATCCAACACTATGAAGGAAAGAATTCTGCATCTCTGGTATTCATCCCTGTTCCCAGTGCTCTAAAATAATTCCTGGATCTCATGGCACTGCTCTCTTGCATTTCAGATTCACCCTTCCCCCAGCACTGGCAATGGTATGGAATGCTGATGAGCTAATGCTGAAGTTTCAAGCCCAGTACCTAGCTTGCATTTTTATAATCTGCTTGTGGTTTAAATATAATGTCACTGCAGATGACCACAACATAAATTGGCAGCTATTTTGAATTTGGCTTGTCTACACAAATTTTAGACGCCCGATAACAAAACACGTACCCCCACACCCAAACCTGAAATTGGATTTTTATTGTTCAAGGAATTATTTTGCTTCAGGTTATTATTACTTGAAATTTGCCACCTCCATTGTCATGGAATAACAGATTGGTTTGGGTTGAAAGGGCCTTAAAGCCCAAGAGTTCCACTCCTTTCCATGGGCAGGGATAACTTCCCCTGTGCTAGGTTGCTCCAAGCCCCACTGCCCAACCTAGCCTGGAATTAATTGGCCTTGAATTTTCTGTATGAAATAAAGAAAACAGCTATTCTGCTCTGATATTTTAACTCATCTATCCCTGAGGTGTGCACACACTCAAGCCCAGGCAGCCACTTGCTCACCAAAACCTCCGTGATGGTCCACAGAATTCAAACAGGGAGATGGAAATGGGATTACTGAATAATTCCACACGGTGCCCCAGAACTAAGGGGCACAAAAGCAGCTCTCAGAAGCTTGCCTGCTATGTTTTAGTTCCAAGGAAGCCCTGAGGAGAGAGGCTGTGAGCAGAGGGAGCTGCTGGCTGCAGTTCTGCACACCACGAGCTCAGTATTTGATGTTCCACCACTCAGCACCGTGAGTGGTGCAGGATGTAAATCCTGAATTCCTGCCTCCCGAACAAAGACAGGCACAGCTTTGTTCAGCTCGAGGCAACTCTGCAGCGTGTGGAGCTGAAACAGCAAAGGGAGGCAGGCAAGGCAGAACAGGGCTGTGGCAAAAAATTTAAAAAGAAAGCACCACACCAAACCAGATTAAAAAAAAACCAATAAAAAAAAAAAAACAAAAATAAAACAAACAACAACAACAAAAAAAAAACCCAAACAAAACAAAACAAAACAAACCCACTCAAAATCCCCCAAAAACCCAAACCAAAAAGCCCAATTCTTCCTGAATGAAAATGATTTCTGAATTATTTTTATTCTGCATTTAACAGACATGGCCAAAGACTGGTGACCATAAAACCTTCAGTGTATATTCTGAAAAACCATTTTTCATCTAGTAAAAAACTATAAACAGGCTAAAGAAGTCCACCAGCTCGCACTGGGAACGAAGTCACGCAACTCTTATTTTTTTTCTGTTGTTTTTGCTTTCTTTTCCCTCCTTTTCTTTGGGGTTACTCTGTAAAAGTGCCACCCCACCATGGAAATTGATACAAGCACTAATGCCTCTTGCACATCAGCGTGTAATGCAGTACAGAACACGGGTTATACAATACACTATTGTTCAATTACACTGTTAAGCAGTAAAACACTACTTAGGGAGGCCCTGTGCTTGTCAGGGAGACTGTCAGGATAAACTGTTACTCATTTTAATGAAAGGGAAACAAAACTAACTCCTCCCAAAAGCCGGCTCTCTTTTTCAAGGTAAATTAACGCAAATTAGCTGCATTCTTTCATCAATCTTCCCAGATTGTGTGTTTTTTCAGGTAAAGCTACAGAAAAGCAAGATAAATCTCTGAATGCTCTGCGCTAAGAATTCGATGCTGACTGAACCAAGCATAGATTATTTCACTACAGAATGGTAGACAACTCAGATTGTAAATGCAACAGCAATTACAAAAATCTCTTGAAAAATAATGGTACTTTTTCCTATAATATTGCACTCATTTTTCAATTCCGGCTTCTTCAGAAAGAAAATAGATGAAAGAGACAGTAATTTATTCCCCACTCAAAAATGTAAACAATCTACACTGCCAGTTCTAAGAATGATAGGAAATAATATTAATGAAAAGGCTTCCTAAAGAAAGTGAAGCTAATTCCACAGATTCTGAGGTGTTTGGGGTTTTTTCTTAACTCATAAACTAAAACCACCTTTAATTGCAAATGTTTAGTATCAGTTGCATTTTTGTCAAAGGGAGCATCCACAACTGCATGGGCTAAAAACATAACAACGGAGTTAAAAACATGTCTCAAATGAATAAAAATTTCTGTCCACTGCTACAGAGCTGCTCAGGTGTCACCTGTGAATCCCCCTGGAAACTGACCTCTTTTCCACGTCACTCCAGTTGCTGAAAAGCCTTTCATTTTCCCTCTGCAGATGCTCAGTTTTGGCCTGCAGCTTTCCCAGGCTGTCCAGGCAGTAACCAATGAGTTCCTTCATCACCTCTGCTGGGTTTGGGACTTCCTGCAGCTTCAGAGATCCAAGTCTGAACTGAGACACAAGGAAAGAATGAGTTATTTCAACTGCACAAGAAACTCCACCGAGGCTTTGCTCCAGTAAACTTGAATACATCTTTAACAAGCAAAATAAATACCTTACAGTCCTCCTGTTAAAAGGGAGATAATAGTTTTGTCATGCAGTGAATGGAGGAATATGTAGAATAATCTACATGATAATTATTTCCAGAGGACCACAATGTTGAGAAGGACTTGGCAGGGGATGGATCAGATCATCTCCAGACACCCCTTCCAACCCCAAATATCCTGAGATTCTATGATTATGTGATTTATGCATCTAATATGAAAAATCTAGCCAGCAAGATGTCACCTCTAGGGTTCAGAAGGCAAGTACTTAATCTTAAAAGGACTCCTCCAATTAAACAGACAGCCCCATCAAGACAGTGAGGTTAAAGGATCTGTAATGAACCACTGTGCTTCTTCAGCAATGGGGATGCTGTACAGGTTATACAGGAGGTCTGAACACATTTGTCTTGCCTGGTCTGGGACAAACAACAGAAAACTGTTGTTTTTGTCATGTTAAAGGAGAAATAGCTCAGCCATCCACGCAAAGCAGTGCCAGGTGAGCTACAACCATGCAAGCCAGGGCAAAGACACATTAATACCCAACACAATAGTCTCAGGGAGTGGAAGAAGGAGAAGGTTGTCTCTCTCATCTTCTCATCAAAAAGACTGACATAAATTTTGTGGCAAGAGAGACATATTGCCCATTTTTCAACATGCACACACAGCTATAACATCTTAAAAAAAGGCATAAATGTAAGTAGTACACACTAGGGAAGATTTCACTGTGTTGTGGTACCTCACCTATTAAAACCAGAAATGCAGTTTGATTAGTTTTGTCCCCCATTTTACTTGGGAGGTCATGGAAAATTACATAAAAGACATATATTTAAAAATGCCTATTGCTTGTTAGTTTTTCTAGATGCGAGTTTCACTTCACGTGTAAGTTTTGGCTGAAAAAGGCTCTGTGAGAACTGCTCACAAAGCTTTCAAAGTCATTGTTTAAAACAAGGAGCAGTCCTTCCACATGGACCTTTTATCTGTGGAAGTCTGTGCCACAACACATGATACCACCCTGACCTCCTTCAGCAAGGTCAGCCTATCACAAAAAGTGGAAAACCCAAAGGTTTAATTTCCGATTAGCCACCAAATTCACATGTGCTGTCTCTAAAGCATTGTTGTCTTTAGCAGGCATACATCTGATGGCTACAGATGAAAAGATGCTTTTAATTTATTTTTGGAAATTAGATTATACTATCAGTAGCCCACAGATTGGCGTGCACCCCCTGAATATCACACTTGCTGTCTGACAGCATTAACAAAGATGGACATTTGTGTAAAGGAAACTGTTTTTCATCACTTGCAAGCCACCACCATGCTATTTGGATAAAGAATTCACAGAGATAGAGAGGCACAGTAACACAGATAAATAGCATCACAACCTTCTACCGTGAAGGAAATAGCAAGGAGAGCAGCACATAGTTTTTGTCTTCTGCCTTAATATATTCAAGTGAGATCAGATCAGGTATAGGCAGATATATTTAATTGGGACAAACAAATTACAGTTTTCACTGCACAAAAAGAATGAAAAATTAATAATCCTATAACAGGTTAAAGGGAGTAGCAGTAGAATTATTCTGAAAGCTTGGTACCACTGCACAACCCAAATCACACCAGACACACAGCAGATACTCCAAATGCAATTGTAATTATAGAAAAAAAAACCAAAAACACAGTACTGCTACAGGGACACAGAGAATGTGTCCATCTTTGCAGGTGTTGAAGTCCAACACTGGTGGTTAATCTTTAATTTAGCCTTTAGCTCAGGCTTTACATGAAGCAATTGACTATTACCTACTTTCTCACAATAAAATTCACTGTCCTGCTTCAGTGTCTTAGACACTGAGAACTGTGGACCATTTCTAGGAGGCCCACACAGCCCATCACCAGGAGGCTTAAATTTATCATGCAGGTGCTGACAAATCAACTAAAAAAGGAAAAAAATAGTAAGGTTTTCTGTAAAACAAGTGTTCTTCTCTATCTCCCCTCCTCCCGCAGGAGGGGATCCTAAATCTCAATTTAGGATAGCTGTGGGGAGCACATTATGCAGCTACCTCCAGGAAAACACGTAGTGTTTGGATACAGCCCTAATTGAAACAAAACTAATGTGACAGCCTGGATTAGTGGAAGGTGTCGCTGCCCATGGAAAGGATGGGCTTTAAGGTGCCTTCCATCCCAGAGCACCCAACCATTCTGTGATCCTGGATTGTGTAGCTGTGCTATGTCACACAGCACAAAATTACACCAAATGCACCAAAACCCCCTTCCCTGAGGCTGTTCCTCCAGCAGGGAATTGTTTTACAGCACCTATTTAACACACAGAGAAGTCAGCACTAACAATAGCAGCGCTGCTATCTTGGCAAATTATAGCTGAGTGGTGTTTGCCCCACCAGCAGCCCGGTGCTGAGAGGCTGATAAGCCAAAAAGGTCCACTGGATTCCCAAAGCAGGGCTAAAACAACCTAAAGGAAAAAGGAATCTCGGGGTAGTTCTGCTCTGGAGTCCTGCTGGCATCCCGAACTGGAAATCTGACTGAGGAGAAGATGACAAAATAAGACAATTTTACATCCAAGGATTCTGAATTTGGGACAGGCATGTAAATCGCAGACATAATTTTATTAAAATTAAGAGTTGTGGGGGAAAATGTGTATCATTAAAAAGGAGATGTTAGTTTTCTCCACACACTGCTAAGATTTTCCTTGCAACTAAAGCAGGAAACAGTCCGGTTCTTTGTCCTTCATCGCCAAAACCACAGTAGGGAAACTGCAAACAGTCCCAGGGAGATGCAGTGGAAGTGGTTAAAGATCAGGATACCACAACAAACATTTAACTGGGTGGGATATCAAGATAAACAGCTCTTGCTTACTGCAGGAGTGAAAGAAAATATCATTAACACCTCACTAAGCTAATTTGACAAGCAACACGTCTTTGGTTTGGATCACGTTTCCAAGGTGATTTTGTAAATTTGTAATAGTGAATTTTAATTTTTTTTTTTTTTTTTAGCTTTGTAAATTCCTGCACTTTGCTGCTCCCCAGATGAATTTAAATTTCTCACCATCCTTACAGCTGCTGTAGCTCTCTGGCTCTGCATCATCTGCAGATGTAACTAATGTGCTTTCTACTTCCCCTTTCAGATCATTCAAGAAAACATTATGTAAAACACTGAAGCACTAAACACTTCATTTATACCGAGAAGGAGCAGACCTGGAAGAGGTCCCAGGGGACAACAGACTGACTGTGACTGATACACTGCTGCCCTTCAATATCTGTTTTATTGTTTGTTGGGATTTTATTGCTTCAAATTTTTATTTTTTTAAAGGCACAGGAAGATGAACACAGAAGCATTTAGAAAACTGTTCCCTTAATCAGAAATTACAGTCATCACGTATCCACCAGGCCTGTATTCTGACCTTAGGAAATAAAAACAAAAATTAGAAGCTTATGACAGAAATGTCATTTTCCCCTGACCTCTCACCCTGCCCACTGTGTGTCTTCAGGGATGAAGAAAGAAGTGATCTTAATCATAAGACACAAAATATTTCAGAAATAACTGAAAAGTTTCTCAGCTTTTCTTCTTGATGCTTATAGGAAGATGTGCTTCACATAAGAAAATAACAGTTAGTGGAAAATGATACAACACATTTTTCACATGAGATTCCAAAACTGAAAGTTACTTTATTGTATAGAGACAGTGAATTTTAATTTTGCTTTAAGTGACACATATCTGCTATATAATCTTTTCATTACTTCACTCCACTAAATATGAGTTATCACACCTAAGGCAATAATTATCAGAGGTTATGCATTGAAAAGACACACAGCAATGCCTCTCTTCTGGTCAGAATCTGAAGCTAAACATTAACAGTGAGTTTATTTCAAATAACAACAATTTTTCACTGTGTCTATAAGGAAAAAAAATTATGCTGGAAACTTTCATTACATCTGCTTTGCTGGTTGTGATTTCTCTCTGTATTAGTAAAATATTCAAACAACCCTTTCTAACAATATTTTTTACCCACAATACATTTAAGGAATTCTATACTGCCACGAAATTAGATAGATTCTGTCCTTTGTTGTCCTGGAAGCGTATAGCAGATATATAGATGTATAGATGTATATAGATACAGATGTATTTATACAGATATATATGGTGTGTGTATTTGTGAGCCTCTCTCTTATTGTATCTTATCCCACAATATTTCAAAATTTCCTTCTCTGCTTTAAAAACTAATTGACAAATAATTTTTGGAGAGAGCACACTTCACAGATACTTAAGTCTGATTTTGAAATTAAAATATTCTCAGCGTGTGAGCTGAATGACAGAGGTTTCATAGTACAAGTCAACCTTGTATAGCCTGTTACAGGCTCTAACTCAGCTCACTCAGCTTCCACTCCTCCAGCCCCTGAGTGAGACACAGAGATCCCTGTGCTCTGCCCCTAAAACAGCATTTCAGGCTGAGCCAGCACTCCCACAAACACCTACATCCTCGCAGACAGATGCTGCCTCCTGCAAGGTATTGCCCAAACAATGTCCTTTCACCAGGGAAATATCAAAGAAGAATTTGTGGGGGAAAAAAATGAATTCCAGAGCAGCCCACCAGCACGGAGCAGCTGTGCAGTCCCTGTCTGGATTCTTAAAGTCTGTGAAAGCAGCTGTGACCCCTGTGCTGGAGCAGGGAAACCCTGCAGATCCACACAACAACAAATCCTTTTGTCACTGCCCTGTTCCGAGCACAGAATCACAGAAGCAGAGAATGTGAAGGGTTGGAAGGAACCCTAAATCCCATCCAGTGCCACCCCTGCCACGGCAGGGATGCCTTCTACTATCTCAAGCTGCTCCAAGACCCATCCAACCTGGCCTTGGACACTTCCAGGGATCCAGGGACAGCCACAGCTTCTCTGGGAACCTGTG